CCTTAAATGTCTTGATTATAAGGAAAATCGAGAAAAATTTACTCAGTGCACGAGTATACGCATAGACTGAGTAAAATGGTAAAATTGTCGATTTTCCTCATAAAGGTTGTTCGAAATTTTCTTCGTACAAGGCCCATCCCACCTATTGCACGAGCCATGTTCCCACTTTTTTGACTGCCAAATTCCATTTCCGCTTGACCAGTATTTCTCAATTGGCCTTAGTTCCGAAGGATTGACCGGATTCATCTCCTTGGGAACCACTGTAACGCCATTTTCGCTGTACCACTGCTTGGTGGAATTTGAGTAGTGGTAGCTTGCCAAGTCCGGCCAGAATAGGCAGTAGGGTAGAGTGCTACTTCGTCGTAATCGCCCATTTTCGTTCTATCGATCACAAAAAATCAATAATATCAATGGTTTCACTGTGCACAAATCAATAAAAAGTTTATTCCGATGCGTTAGTTCATTAGCTACAACATAAATCCTGTTAGAGTGCATTGTATGAATATTTACGCTCATTGTTCTCAAAACAAAAGAATCGTTCCTAGCCAATCCCCTTTTTCTACGTTTATCAGTAGGACGAAGAAAATGTAATGGCGTTTCAATGCGTTAGGACGGAATTGAAACTCGTAGAACGAATTTAGAATCAAGAAGCAGTATTAGATTTTAAACAATATCTCAACAATTTGTGACTGTTTATGAAATCCAATGGTACGTATGGAAAGGTGAATAAATTTAGAAGTCATCTTTGACATAAGTATTCCATTTTTTGTTCAAACCCGTTAAAAAAAGGGGGGTAAAGCGCGGGTTGTGCTTAGTAGGACGGAAATTAGATCAAAACCCCTAGTCTCCTCATGGTAAATTTGCTGGTTCATGGTCCCAGAAGTAACGAAAGGTACAAATCGGATTGATCATCTATCTTTACCAAACTCCCCCGTTGAAGAGGGATGGTGAGAGGTATTTTTAGTTCGAATGATACTTGATACACCCAACCGGGGGATATAAGATTCGCTTACAATTATGTGGGATTCATCATCAGAGAATGTTAGTGGAGACCGCATGGACCGAGGATGCGATATACCTAGCTGCGGTCCAATGCAAGAAAATTGGAGACCGAAAAATGTAGAGTGTATTAGTGAGGTAAATTAGTTATGTCGAAAAAAATAGGAAACAGACTGCCGACTGAACTCGAACCACGAACGTTACGATTATCAGACCTGTGCTTTCTCCACTGCTCTCTCCATGCTTCTGAATAAGGAGAGCCTAAAAGCAAACATGAAGCGCTCATTTTCTCGCATACTCGACTTCGTATGCTTTTTCTGCTGGAGAGACTCGAGGCAAGTGTGTGCGTCGTTCTATCATGTTATACATAAAAATCAAGGCAAATGCTTGCTTGTGTAGGTGAAAGCACAGATAGAACACGAAATAAAAAAGGCAAAAAACCATCGCGTCGCCTGCAAAGTCAACTTCTAACTTTCGCTGCGATGTTCATGAACAGAGGATGATAGTAAATGAAACTAACATTCATTGTAATATTTTTTTGGTTTGCGTGTAGACGTATATAATGTTATGTACATATTCTTGTTGCTTGCTCTGCTTCATTAGCTTCATTTTAATTTGGATGAGTAATGCAATATAATTTAAATATATAAATGATCCAGTTAATGTTGATCAAGTTGATCTTCTGTCTGTAGAAGTAGACTGGCCCACAAATATAAAAGTTCTAATTTTCCACGGGCCAACCTCTAGATTTGTGCCTTTAGGTGAGAAAACCGTTCTCTGAAAGTTTTAGCTCATTTGGTTAAAGGATGAGCTGGCGCTTTTAGTTTGAATTTTGTATGAGGGATTTTGGATAAAATACATGAAAAAATGACAATCTTACACTCTATCGATCATAAAAAAGTTTGCTTATTATAGATTTGATTCAGATTTTCAAAACTTGTAGTTCAAACAATGAGTATAACAACTTTGCTGAAGACTGCTTTATGAATCCGGTTAGTTTTATTGAGATATTCGCTTTTAAATGTATGTAAGCATTTTGTATATGAAAATTTCAACCAAATCCCCTATATAAACATTAAACCAAAACCTGTGGAAAATATGAACTTTTATTATTTTTGTGGTAATCTAGTTGCATACGCTGTCTGTATTTTGTTGCAATATACGAACAAAATGCATATATAAATGCATTGTGTTGAAATTCTGAGCTTAATCGAGTTTGCTGCACCAGTTCTATGTACAAAAGAGTTAAAGAATGTTATTTCTCCATACATTTCAACCAATATCCCCATATCAATTTTAATTCAAAAGCGCCAGCTAGTGTTACATCCGAATGAGCTGAAATTTTCAGAGAGTGGTTTTCTCAGCTAATGGCACAAATCTGCGGGTTGGCCCGTTGTAAAAAATGATAAAAAATCTCCCATATAAATGTGGGCCAGTCTAGTGTAGAAGGTTAATTATTTTAACATTTGTATTTTTATATATTTTTTCAATCCACGAAGAGCTGAAATAACATGAATAATTTATATCGATGAATCCAATGTTTAAAATATTTTCTGGTTTTTTTTTCTGAATGGATGGATTCTTGTTTTACTAGAAGTTCAACATTGGTTAGTTCATGAGGAAATATGCTGTTGAAGTGAACAATAAAATGGTTTAAAATAAATTAAAATAGAAAATAATCATCTAAAATGTAGAACCATACAATGAAAATAATAAAATTCAATATGTGCCTCCCTTAGATCAGCCGGTAAAGGCACAGCTATCAAGCAACAGTCAGTGAAATCAAAGCCTAGCGCATTCCAAAAACATTACAGGTTGTAAAACAATATAACGAAGTAGCTGGAGTCGAAATTTTATGTTAATTCCCTTATGGATTACCCCCCAGACAACCAGAAGTCATATAACAATGTGCAGACAGTATCGTAAATTGCTACAGTTTATGTCAAAATCGCATATAAGAATGAGATGCATCGCATTATGTTTAAGTTAAATCGTATGGAACGCAAATTTCCGACCTATATGCGATGATTCATTTTTCCGTCGTACTGTATCACAAATCAAATCGGATTACATCGTAAGACTTTTCAAAGTGATTTTGTTATTACAGATTAAATCGTGTATGATGTTAAATCAACTCGTTTACAATTAAATTAAAATTTTCACGTATATGGCCTCCACTTTTGTACGTATAAGCCATTTCTTTGCATTCTATACGATTTGTTTGTTTGTATATATGTTTGTATATCACGAAAACAACTTTGAATATACGTGCATTCTGGTTGTCTGGGCCATTTGTACTCTCTCGTCTTGCATTAGTTTACGATTTTCTTTCGCGTGCAATCTTCTTCTACTCTGCTATTAAAGAAGGTAAAAAAAACCTGAAAGAATATATGAATTGCGCCAATATGCGGCCAGGGTGTCTCATCTTACTGCATTCGTCTTGCACTATTTATTAACTATTATTTTCTATAAAGCTGAAAAATAAGGAATGACATATTTGAAATAATGCAAAATAATATAACACGCTGCAATACAATTGTGTGTTTTGTGACAAGCAATGAATTGCAAAATAGGTACTGTATAGTTTGAAATGTATGAATGATATAAATGAATGATAAAACCTGATATATCAATATAAAAAGATGCAGGAATAAAATTTATCAAATCACATTTATAATAATGAAATTTATACATTGATATTTAAGGGATCATCGAGTTAGGGAGAGATATAGTAAGGAAGAGTTGACTGTAGCAGAGCAACCGAAGGAAGTTTAATATTATCATCATCAATGGAGTCAAGATCCTGCTTCACGACAAAGACCGATCAAACGGATGACGGAGTTTGACGTCAAAGTTCATCTTTCATCCAAACAACGGGAGAACAAAAGAGACCTCTCTCTGAAAAAAAATCGCATAAAAACAACATTGAGTGTATTTGGAACAATTCTCAGCATTTCAATAACTATGACTTTTAATCTTAGATAGAGTAAATTATGACTTCGGCACCCATTGACTGTTTTCGGCAACCGAAATTGAAACATTAATTTCACTGTATTTTCCCATCAAAACTCTTCGCTGAATGTATTAAGCCGATTCCTTACCTTTTCAGCTTCAATCTGATTACATTTTTACGACTGTGCAATCCTGTTCTGCCATATTTTTCTTTAAATGAAATATACACACTACAAAATACGGCTGATTTCGAGTTGCCGATAATAGAACAGCTGGTTAACACGCAGTTCAAATGGAAAGGGTGCCGAAGAAAAAGAGACTGCCGACAATAGTCACACTCACCTGAGAAGTTTAGAGCGTTGTAAAAACATGTTCAACCCGTTTTGATCAATTATGTCGATTGGAATTGGTAGAACAGCAAGCAGCAGATAAATGTCAACAAACAAACCTGTCATGTATGTGTGTGACGCTGAGAAATCGCTAATAGAAGTTCGGACTCTGCTTAGATTGACGAGAATACGTAAATTCCCCTATACAAATTTTTTGTTGCCTATCATATCCCAATTTGGCTACACACTTTTGCATTGCTATGTGCGTGCTTCCAGACGATCCCTGGTAGCTACTGGGAAATCGTTTGGAGAACTCAGGCAGTGTAAATTCCATGACAAAAAATCAAGACCTGAGACTTTTAAAACTTTGATTTAGGAAAATTAATCAAAATCTCGGACTTTAAAGAATTTCATCGTCTAAACAGTAATGTTTTTTACAACTCAAGGCATCGAGGATGGTCGGCTACCGCATATTTGTGGACATAATCATAACATTTTGAATTTTTTGCAAAACTGCTGTTTCTGTGATAGTTGTAAAATCAATTTTAAAAACATTGAATTTTGACCAAAAACAAAAGATTGCTGCTCATTTTAAGTGAATTTGACCATGTTTGTAATACACAACTGATATAGCATTCGCAATCGGAATGATACTAACGTACCAATTAATAATAAAATTTATTTATAAAATATGTATTTATTTCTTCTCTTCTCACACAGTGCCTACAAGTTGCCACCAATGTTACCGAGCAGAAGCATAACGTAACGCGTGAAGTCCGCGGTAATAATCTGGGTATATGCCGCGGTTTTCGAGGATGCACCGTCTGGTTGACGGGATTGAGTGGAGCTGGCAAAACTTCGATTGCATTTGAACTGGAAGCGTACCTGGTATCGAAGGGCATTCCGGCGTACGGTCTCGATGGCGACAACATCAGAACGGGCTTGAACAAAAATCTAGGTTTCTCGCAAGTGGATCGGGAGGAGAACATTCGACGGGTGGCGGAGGTGGCAAAGTTGTTCGCCGACAGTGGTGTGGTATCGATTTGCAGTTTCGTATCGCCGTTCGCGGAAGATCGTGAAATGGCTAGAAGGATTCACAAGGATTCAGATTTGAAATTTTTCGAAATACACGTGGACACTTCCTTGGAGGTTTGCGAGTCGCGTGACGTCAAGGGTTTGTATAAGAAGGCTCGGGAAGGCTCGATTCAAGGATTCACTGGCGTAACGCAAGCTTACGAAGCTCCAGAAAACCCAGATCTGTCCGTTCCGACTGAAGGGTTGACGGTGAGACAATCAACGTTCAAAGTGATAAAGCTCCTAGAGGATGAAAATATCATTCCAAAGTTCATTAAGGACGATGAACCTATACCGGAGTTGTTTGTTCCGGATCACTTAAAAGCTTCTGTAGAGGCGGAAGCAAAAACACTTCCATCATTTTCGATAACGACCGTTGAGTTGCAATGGTTGCAAGTATTAGCCGAGGGCTGGGCCCATCCACTTAAGGGTTTCATGCGCGAAAAAGAATATCTACAAGCGCTGCACTTCAACTGCATGTTAAGTGAAGATGAAACGATGCGAGAAAATCAGTCCATTCCAATAGTATTATCGGTTAGCGATGATGATAAGAATAGACTAGACGGAGTCAGTGCTTTGTCGTTATCGCACGAGGGTCGCATTGTGGCGGTGTTGAGAAAACCCGAGTTTTATTTCCAAAGAAAAGAAGAGCGATGTGCAAGGCAGTTTGGTACGTCGCATCCAAACCATCCGTATGTCAAAATGATTATGGAATCTGGTCAGTATTTGGTGGGGGGCGATGTGGAAGTTCTGGAAAGGATTCGCTGGAACGATGGCTTAGATAACTACCGACTTACTCCAAATGAGCTTCGGAAAAAGTTTAGCGACATCAAGGCGGACGCTATCTTTGCATTTCAATTACGTAACCCAATTCACAATGGCCATGCCTTGCTTATGAGCGATTGCCGGCGTCAGCTTTTGGAGCGTGGCTTTAAAAACCCCGTACTATTGTTGCATCCTCTGGGAGGATGGACGAAGGATGATGACGTACCACTTCCGGTGAGGATGGCACAGCATCAAGCGGTTTTGGATTCGGGAGTGCTGAAACGAGAGCACACAATTTTGGCGATTTTCCCGTCACCGATGATGTATGCTGGTCCAACGGAGGTTCAATGGCATGCTAAATCTAGTGAGTATCGAAGGTTATACATTAGATACAACAGCACAGTGGAAAATGGCCCGATTATTTGTTTGCGTGAATATGCGTGATTTTACAAGGGTGGCCTTCGAAGAAGTTTATTATCATCAAAAACAGACTTTCTTTTGGTACTAGTATGCAGTGTCGATGTTATAATAAAAGTCTCGCCAAGAGAAAATTTGGCGAACAAGCAGCACAGATTAATATTTTGGTACCGTAAACGGCAACCAATTGTTTTGCGTTAGCATCGAATGACTTTCATTCAGAAGTGAACAATTTCATGTCGATAACGGAGCTTCTGTAGAATGTTGTACAACATTAAACTATGATGTGCAAAGCTATTGATATCATCATGTAAGGCACATAGACTCAAAGTGTGTCACAGTTAGAATCAATAGTGTTGAGTCATGGTTCACAGCATAAGATTCACACATGAAATGGATATGTTTCACAATAAGTGCTCAATTCAGTGTGAGACACATGATGATGACGTGTGGAATTTTTTGAGTGTAGTAGTTGTTCAGCTTATCGTGATTTTTTGTTCACGAATATCAGAACATTTTTTTTGCGTGTAGCTGTCAGTTCAACTGTGAAACGTCGTCATGGATCACCTTGCTCACAAGCCATTGCATTGTAGCGCTGCCAAGTATTTTTTTTTATAAAAAGTATCACAAGAAGTGACGACCCCTTGTGTCTAACCAGTCTAACTGAGTTCTGAAGAACCTTTAGACACAAATAAATAATAGAATTTTACTTATCTAACTGATGCAGCCTCTACCCCATTTGGCATAATGGCGTTTAGCATAATACAGTTTGGCATAATGGCCACTTTGAATAACTGCCATTTGACATAATGGTAATTTGGTATAACTGTGGGAAAAAACTGTAGTTATGCCGATACATAGATATTCTACCATCTATCAAGAATAGTTCATAAGAAAAGAGAAAATAATTATATAATGTGTATTTCTCCGAGTATTTCTCTTCTATTGAACACGAGCTGTTGATTCATGCTGTTTATTCATTTTATGCCAAATGATCATTGTGCCAAACGGCAGTTATGCCAAATGACCCATACATACCCAAATCCTTTACCATTCGAATGAGGGATCTTTTCGCGTCATTTTGAGCCTACTTGAGCTGTGAAATCGGGGCACTTTTTCATACACAATTTGGTCAATTTGACCGTTTATTTCTAAATGCCTCTTTTCTTGCAGTCTTTTTGTATGGAAAATATCGATACAAAAAAAATACGTAAAGCTATAAAGCAAAAAGTATATAGAGAGAGAAGGATTAGTAATTTCCATTTAATTCCACTACCTTATTTGTTTATCCTTGACAGATACACGTATTTCTTCAGTGTCTTGTCTTGTCGAGTATTAGTACAAGACACTGAAAAACTCTGCACATTGTAGACGAAATACGCGTATCTGTCAAGGATAAGCAAATTAGGAATTAAATGGAAATTACTAATCCTTCTCTCTCTCCCGTCATACAGGTAAGACGCCCACATTCATCAGGAGCAAAAAGTAGTCAAACAAAATGTTAATCATCTGTTTAATGTTGTTCTGGCAGCTTACACTCACATGAAGTCCTGATATTATTGAGGTCACTATATTCTTTGCCAAATACGGATTCACAGACTTTACTGTTGACCCCATTCATTAAGTTTTGCACAACCTTTTTGAATTGTTACATTATAGGTCATTTGACCATGTACGCAATTTTGTTTGATTTTCTTCATATTTTAAACATATTCTGAACCCTTCTTGAGGTTTGTCTTGACGATTGTTCATTATTTTTTAAAATGAACGAAGTATGATGAATTTGGCGGTTTTTAGTTTTTGGTAACATCTAGGGGAAATGACGGCTTCGGCATGACAGACTATTTTCGGCAACCCAAATTGAAACGCTAATTTCACTGGATTTTCTTACGAAAACACTTCGCTGAGTGCATTCAAACGATTCTTTAAGCTTTTAGCTTCAATTTGATTATATTTTTACCACTGAGAAAAAGTAATCTAGCAGGGTTTTCTTGAAATGAAACACACGCACTACAAAATGCTGCTGATTTCGAGTTGCCGCTGTTTAACACGCCGCTCAAATAGAAAGGTTGCCGAATAAAAAGATGTTGCCCACAATAGTCGCTCTCACTAGAGAAGATTGGAGCTTTGTAAAAGCGACAATTATTTCGACTGAAATTGTTACAGCAGCTGGCAGCAAAAGATTGTAAACAAACCAATAATGCAACTTTACGTGGATTATATCGTGAATTGGTAATCAGTAAATTACAGGCTACTAATTCGCGATATATTCCACATAAAGTTGATCGATGTTACAAAACCATTCGTGGACCTTACTGACTACCATAACCATTACCATTAAAGTTCTCAAACCATAAGTTAAAAGGTTCTAATATAGTTCTCTTTCCGAAAATGTATGGAGAAAACAAGAATTTGGAATGGTAATGGTTCTTAACAACCCATTATTTGTAAGGTCCAGTTCCAAAAAACCATAATACATAAGGTTGAAACTTTATCATTAAACGTTCATGTAAAGTTCCATAACCATTTCAGTTAAAGTTTAGCAGGGATTATAAACAATTTTTAACCATTTTAGGTAAGGTCAATTTATGGTTCGCGTTTATGCGGGAACCGTGGCATAGTGAGATCGAACGAAGACTCCGGCAGCAGCTCACCCCAACAGTCCATGATCGAATCCCAAATCAGATCCATTAAAATGATATGTGACAGATCTGGCCTCTGGCAGTTTTGTTTATATATTTGTCGATTCATTTTCATTAGTAGAAGTCGATAAAGTAGAATATTGTAGAATATTGAACTATGATGTGCAAAGCTATTGATATCACCATATGAGGCACATACACGCTAACTTGAAAGTACTCATTAATGAGTAAAAAAAGACCCATTTTGAAGAAAAGTGGCTTAACTCATTAATGATTAAACAATTTTACCCATTAATGAGTATCTGTTACCCATTAATGATTAACAATTACTCATTAATGGGTAACAGATACTCATTAATGGGTAAAAAATTTACTCATTTAATGAGTTAACCCTTAAATGCATAGTGTTGCCATTTGGCAACATACCTACGTTGGTCTTTAAACATGGTGAAACAACATTTTAATAGTAAGAGCAATATATACTACAAGAAAAAAAAATCACCACAAAATAAAAAATCATGCATTTAAGGGTTAAGCCACTTTTCTTCAAAATGGGTCTTTTTCAACCATTAATGGGTACTTTCAAGTTAGCGTGTAGAATCCAAGAGTGTCACAATTCAAATCCATAGTGTTCGGGCATGGTTCATAGCATAAAATTCACACATGAAAAATGGATGTGTTTCACAATATGCGCAAAATTAAGTGTGAGACACATGATGATGACGTGTGGAATTTTTTGAGTGTGTATATGTGTGCGTTCCTTAGAGAAAAAGACTATAGAAAGTTGATCGCTGCTTAGGTTGCCGAGAATACGTTAATTCCCCTACAACATTGTTGGTTTCATATGATTTTCTGGTAACTTTACCGCAATGACAAGGCCAATACGGACAATTGGGTTCTTTAAGGGTATTGAGGTAAATGCATATTCATAATCTGCATTAAAAATGGAACCCAAACCCAAAATTTCATCAATTTTGGTACACTGGAACTATTTTAAATATGTACGATTATATTTGCAAAAATCACCTTATTCGCGCCCCTCGGTGTCATTTTGTATGGGAGCGAGCTGTCAGTTTGTCAGTTTAGTGTCAAACAGTGAAGTTATTATTTTGCATTAAATCTTGATTTAAAAATCGAGATGAAAGTGTGTCGGTTCGAAAAAAATATCTCTGTGCTCAGAAAACGAAGCTCTTTCAGATGATATATAAAAACGGATATATTTTTCAAAATTAAAGAACCCAATTCAGCATAGGGCAGTTATTGCCAAAGTGTAGCCCGTGCGCCGCACGTGGTGCTTAGATCTCTATGATGAAACAACCTCAGCTTGATTTTTTTTTGCATTACGAATGTATGGCCAAAATTATTGCGAAATACGCTAAGTTAAACTTAAAATATGACATCGAACAGCTATTGAAAAAATGGGCATGAGCAGTGCCAGGGTTTCTAATAAAAGGCAATACACATTTTGTTCAAACACTCGCTTACGTAAATATTCTAGTTGATGATGCCAGTGTCACAAAGATAATTACTCTTCAGCTCACCAGTGCAAATCAACTGCCCGACCAAATAGTTTTTTTTTTTCTTTTGGCTGATTTTTTACAACTTAACCTTAAATATTTGGGTACCAGTTGCAGTATAAAATTCTTGACCATTACGCCGTTTAAAATCAGCCTCAACAAAGAAAGATTTGAATTTAATGAATAAGTGTGTAGAATTTTAAAATGCTGGTTCTCTTGTTTGGTAGTATCTTAAAAACTGAATGCTAAATACCAGAACAAACAAATATAAGAGATTTCGTTTTTACACATCTTTGCGCACTAGACATAAATGCACTAATTTTGCTTAGTGAAAAACTTGCCGAGATTCAGCAAAAATTATGTTAGTTATGTTATGTTTGTTAGCTGAATCTCTTCAAGTTTTTCATTGAGATCCAGCAAAATAAAATGTCGAAAAGGTGGTGCTCATCTCGAAAAAAAAAAATCTAAGTGTGTGGACCATTATGCCAAACGGGGTAGAGCTGAAAATACATGTAACAATTTGTTAGAAACTTAGAACGTATTTTGTTTTTGTCGAAAAAAGTGACTTTAGTAACTAAAACGTGACCTGCTAAAGCACAAAATCAAAGTTCGATATTACGGACTGGCGAAGCGTACCGGTTTACAATAATTACATTAAATTTTTCCATATATGTTCTTATCCCTACCATAACACTGTTCATAATTCGATTTTCATCTTTTTCCAGGAATGAATGCCGGTGCGAATTTCTACATTGTTGGTCGAGATCCTGCCGGAATGCCACATCCCGATAAGACAATGTATCCCGATGGTAACCTGTACGACGGGTCGCATGGCTCACGGGTGCTCAAAATGGCTCCAGGGTTGGATAGTATTGAAGTAAGTTTTATCGACAAAAGTCAAGATAAACAATTGAAAAGGTCACATCAGATTTGATTATCAAAACTTATGAATCCTCTTGTCTTGCAATCGATCCACAACATCGCAATGTAACATACCACCATTAGAAAAAAAAACAATTTCGTATCTATTGGCAAGGTTGATTTGTATCATTTAGTTTTTGTGTCTGAAATCGACAATAAATATGAAAAAAGTTCGTTACTTTATGTATATTGAGGTATACATCTGTAGCAGTAGTAAGTAGTACGGGATCTATTAGCCTTCTTGATAGCTATAAGTGCAGCGACACTATCTTATATTCATCCTGAAGTCAATGAAAACAATCTTAGCTTGAGTCTCTGTTTCATAAGTGCTCAGACCACTGCTCCATATGTCTACAGCGCCTTCTGCACTGATGAAGCAAGTTTCTCATCATCCTCCTTTGATTGTCAGTGTAGAAAATAACAAGCTCGGGATTTTGACGACGCTTCCTTTACCGGATCTTACGATTTCCAGAAAGCTGACATCGTAGTGTCGTAGATGTGCTGTCTTGCATAGACTGGGAAAGCATCATCGATCCTGCAACGTTAAGACCGCTGCGCAAACATTTTCACGTCTTGGCATACATCATGGACAAGCACGTTCCTAAGATAGTTGACAATTACCCACGGCCCATACAAATTTTAAAATTTTTGTATGGACAATTGTCTACACAGGGCCCCCCTGTCAAAAATCCCAAAAAGCTGTCTACGTAGTTTATGAACAGCCCCAATCAAGAAGCAGTACACTGGAGTCGCTTTTTACGCGGGTGATACGTCCCGCGTAAAAAAAAACCGCGTAAAAAAAAACCGCGTAAATTCCGGAATCCGCGTAAAAAAAAACCGCGTAAATTCCGAAATCCGCGTAAAAAAAAACCGAGTAAAAAAAGACCGTGTAAGAAAAAACCGCGTAAAAAGCGATATACCGCGTAAATTCTGAAATCCGCGTAAAAAAAAACCAAAATCCGCGTAAAAAAAAACCGCGTAAATTCCGGAATCCGCGTAAAAAAAAACCGCGTAAATTCCGAAATCCGCGTAAAAAAAAACCGTGTAAAAAAAAACCGCGTAAAAAGCGACTCCAGTGTATTAGATTTTAAACAATATCTCAAAAATTCGTGACTCAAATCCAACGGTACGTATGGAAAGGTGAATAAATTAAGAAGTCATCTTTGACAGAAATATTTAATTTTTTGTTCAAACCCGTTCAAAACAGAGAGGTTAAGCCCGGGTTGTGCTTAGTAGGACGGAAATTAGATCAAATACCCTACCACACGTATGGAGCGATTCAAATATGACGTCCACTCTTGGAGGGGGTGAGGGGGTCTTAGAATGTGTGACAGTACGTGTAATAGATATGTGAAAAAGCGTGACAAGGAAGCGGGATGGAGATGGGGATAAACAATCGAAAAAAGAGGATATACACCCGAGCAAAGTCCAGCATCAAAATGACAGCAAATTGAAATCAAGTTTTGATATCAACATCAAACTGAAATCATAATTTGATTTCAGTTTACACATTGACAAATTTGATACCAAATTTTGTTTTCATTTTGCTGTACATTTGCTCTTTAAAAATATGTTGTTACGGGTTTGTTTTAATTGCCTTAGCATAACATCAAATTGAATACTTGTTTTGTTATCAACAGGAAAAATTGACAGCAAATTTGGTTTTCAGTTTGCTCTCACTGATAGCAGAAATAGTTTTCAATGTGATGTCACAGGAAAATATGTTTGCTCTCAATTTTGATATTTTAACCGCTAAAACGACCAAAACGACAACAACCTGAGTAATCATTATCAGCGAAACCACAACATCAAATTTAGATTTCAATTTGATCTCAGACTTTGCTCGGGCAGCTATCCCCCGAAGAACGCGTTACCCACTGAGTTACACCCACCGCTTTTCTCGGCGGGGTTTCGACCAGTCGGTCTTATTTTTTGCATGTGAGTAGTGCTAATGGAGAACTACCCTAATAAAAATGGTATGGTTAATTTGCTTAACGACGTGTTCTGGGTATCATCCAAACCATTTGTGGAATAGTTCAATGATTTTGGTTATCGTTCGTTTATGGTTATGTTTTATTAGGGTAGTCACTCGCACTCGCTCGTTGGGTTAAACCCATAGCCCACTTATTGAAAGGCTTTCGTTAGTGGGGCTGAGCTGTCAAGCTGAAAGTTGATTGAGAGATACACCGATTATTTATTTCATCAAAATCTTTTAGTTTTCAAATTGTGCATCCATGAGCCCCTCGAAATTGAATCAGCACTGTCAGAAATGACGTATGACTTCGATTTAGGTGGGCTACAGCCCAACTCACGGGCGCCCAAGTAAAACGTAGTCCACTTAAAGATAACCCAACGAGCGAAATTCGACTGTATTTGAATCACCCTTATCATCATTAACTGAATCTACCGTAGGAAGATATATATGAAAACGTAATATTTTGGGGACATCATTAGTTTTTTTTTAAAATTAAAACTGAACTTTTGTCAATGCAAATGTGTTCACTGTTTTTCGGTAGGCAAGTAGAATGCAATGAACACATTTTCATGAACGTAATTTTGGTTTTGAACAAAAAAGCTCCTTACCATGGACAAATGCTTCTTTACTGCTTAGTTACTCAGAATTATCGTCTTGTCCGTGTTTTTTAAGTCAAAAGCGGAGCCACGAGCAAGCGTCTAGAATGAGCTTTAAAATGAAGCTTATTTTAGAATCTTCTTAAAAAGCTTCTTTTAAAACATTATTTTCTGTCTCGCAAAATCAAAACCGAAAAGCTTATTTAGAAGCTTTTTCTTTAGAATGTTCTTTGAGCTCTGCTCCTGGACTGAACAGTAAATCTGAGTAGCTACGCAATAAAGGAGCATTTTACCACGGTAGCTGCATTTAATCGTTTCAATATCACCACACAAAACCATTTGCTCGTATGTTTAATCACGAGTTTTAGCGATGCAGAGGAAAGTCAAGCCACCTTAACCCTTTGATGCCTAACCTTTCTGTTGTTGCTGTGGCGAGTAGCTTTAATGTAATGATGTTATACCAGCGACGAATTTATACAGTCATTCAGCCATTCCATAGTAAAACGATAAAATGGTTCTCAGAATTTCGTTAAAATGTGCAGTTTTGTTCCTTATCGCAAAATATTAAACCCATATTTTTTTTATTTTTGTCATTAGGGTTACCATTTCCTTGTTATGATGGTCCAAAAATCGTTTTTCTTTTCAAAAAATTTTGACTTTTGAACCAATGAGCCGATATAAAAGATCAAAATTTCAAATTGTACTTAAAATAGTTTTTAGAAAAAATATAATGATATTCAAAAATTGAGATTTAGTATTGAAAAACATTGATTGTATTTGTTTTTTATGGTTTTCATGGTTTATAGATAGAGGCCGCAATATGTGTTTATATTTTTCCTTGAAAACTTAGACTTTTGTACAAATTATATCACAAAATCAGCAATGTGTTCTTTTTCGTGTTTGAGTTAAATTTTTTGAAGTTATCAAGTTTTGGATTTTCGCTCAATACTTCTATGCGACTAGACTACCATACACTCAAAAAATAAATCACATTTCCAATGGAAAATATCCATTCATGAATTAAGTTATTGGAAAAATATCATGTGCGTTCCCAATGGAAACTATATGAAAACTTGTTTCGGTGTAGCTATAAATCGATGGAGATGACCCCACAGGGTTTCGAAGGGTTAAGTCCAATGCGAGGGTATCAACGTATCAACTGTCCCCGTGGTTTGAGGACGAGTTTTGCTTGCAAAAGCGGATGTGGCCTTTTCAATTGTTTGTCTTGAAGTTACACAACAACGGAGAACCATCTCATCTTCAAAATGTTTTATTTGTTTATCACCAATACAGATCCTACCATTCCGCGTGGCCGCTTACGATAAGTCCGTATCGCAGATGGCATTCTTCGATCCCAACAGGAAGGACGACTTCGATTTCATTTCTGGCACCAGAATGAGAATGTTGGCGCGCACTGGACAGGACCCTCCGAACGGGTTCATGGAACCGAAGGCGTGGAAGATTCTATCCGAGTACTATCAATCGCTGAAAAGCGGAGACAATTGATTGTGCTGACGAGAGAGTTTAGCCACAGAGTAATATCAAAATATAGCACAACTTTTGCATGCCAACAGTGTGGGTCACTATTTTACTTTTAGTTTGATAATAATTGTGCAAATTTTGTTTTTTATCATCAGATTTTTATTGTTATACTAGTATATAGCTATGAATTGAAAACAGGTTTATTCGGATGAATAAACAATAAAGTACTACTAATGGGATAAAATTTGAAGTGTGTTTTTTTTTATTATTATTTTGAGTGATCCAATTTTATTGTAGCTAACCATGTAGCTGGACTGTTTTCCTACTACTATCTTATCTTGGTGTTTGCTATGACGAGTCAACTGCAGTCAGTTATCTAGCAAGCAAACCACATCATCTCCACAGAATCAGTTACACTACCATGAAATAATACAACTATTTTCAAGGGAAGAGAAATAAATCCATCAACAATAAATATTGAAATGTTCTCCTAAGGTCGGTAAGTAATGTTGAGTTTGTCCAAATATACTTCTTGTTCTACAAGATACGGTCTATAAGGTTTTCGGGTAGCCTACCAAATTGAATGAAATCCAACTAATATTTATTCTTACTAGTAAGATGCACAAAGTAATAGCACGCGGTGTCGTGTTTTCGTTCACTAGTAAATGTTCACCTGTTCTTGCTACTTTTTGAAACTTATTTACATGGGCTTGGGTTAATCGACCCTCGAGTTGAGTGCTAATTAGGAAAATCTGCTTCGCTGGCTATCACACCTTTGTGCGCCATCAGGTCGTCAATATATTTTTTCACCTTGCGATCAACTGAAATAGAAGCAAGGGGCATACGTTAAACGTGAATTTAAAAGCATACAATCTCCAAAGATACTCACCAACGACTTCCACGTCGTAGAACTTGTGTGAAATGGTTCGTGCTAATCCCTTGAAGAGCTCCTTGGTTTTAATCTTCTGTTGGCGGTAGTACGGCATAAGGAAACGAATAACGACATCGGCTAGGTTTTTCTTGGAAATTTTTTCCTGCTCCAGTTGGATGTTCTGTATTTTGCCGGTGACCTCCGGATTGGTAGGCTTGGTAGTCGCTGCAATAGAAGAGCTGGAAGAAGAGGCTGATCCGGTTGCATTGCAGGTGCTCGCGCTGCTACTGCTACTGCTGCTATTATTTAGGTTTACACTAGCGGAAGTGGCAGATGATGATTTTTTCAGTGCTGCGAGGGTTGCCGCTAGCGACGAGGTTGAAGACGACGATGACGAAGGAGCTCCATTTCGTGCTGCACTGGACATTGCAGCGTTCAGTTTTTGCAATGTGGCATGAATTTGGGCGGCTGTTGTGAACTGGGCATCGGTTATAGATTTCACTGGTATTGTTGTTGGAGTGGTACTGGAGGTTGAAGTTGACGCTTTCTTGTGTTCGTTTTGACTGGTAGGCTTTTCCGTTGGGGCATCGAACAGATAATCGTAGTTCTTCTTGGATGATGCCTTTTCTCTTGGCGGTGAAATCGCTGGCGGTAGAGGAGGTTGATAAGCAGCAGATTGAGTGGTTTGTTGGTTGTAGTACCCTGCTGAATAGCCTGACTCGCCAATGACAGGAGGAGGCGGAGGAGGGGTTTTGGTTGCTGTTGGTGGGGGAGGTGGAGGAGGAATATAGTCAGAAAGTTTATCCGACAATGATTCCGGTTGTTTATGTGGGACAGAATCATCATCCCACATGTCGTCGTTCGACAGTAATGAACTATTGGCTCCCGAAGAATGCTCATAGCTGTTTAACTTTCTTCCAGCCGCATAAGATGGCTTGTAGTCCATCTGAGGAACCGGGGCCGGTCGCTCATAATGAGAAACGCGTTTCGGATTGCTATAGCTGTATTCTTCTTCAGGCGAAGGTGGTCGTTTGACGGCTGGTCTTTCGTTGTACTCGCTGGCATACTTTTTTCTTGACCTTCGATCGTTGTAACCTTCGTCTTCATCTTCATTTCTACTTCTGGATTTTCGATGCTTCCGCCGGCATTCATCATACTCCCGGGATCGTGACCTTCCTCCACGGTACGGTTGCCGTTCGCGAGATCTAGACCTATCTCTAGATCGATGCCGAGATTTTCCTTTGGATCTTGCCCGTGATACTTCACGTGACTTTTCCCTTGGCGTTCGCGACCGATCACTTGATGCATCTCTAGATTTGATACTTGTTTTCCTTTTCTTAGACCTGCGCTCTTCACGATCCCAATCGTCTTTTGAATCCTTTGATCGATGGGAATAGTCACTGGAAACAATTTCCACCGATGGTGACCGCCGCTGATCCGGCTCGGCCTTTTCCTCTGCTTTAGTTTCAATTGCAACACTCGGTCCAGCCGATTCGCCGTCATCCCACATGTCATTATCATCTAATGTCGCTAGTGTCGATGACCCGGTGCTATTGCTTGAACCTCCCTTTTTCGAGAAAAACGAATTGATTGACGTTTGATTCATTCCATCTCGTGCTGAATTGTGGAATCTTCCGGCACCCCGCCGACGGTCACCGTTGCTGGTGCCGCCGCGATGTGACCCGCTTCGTCGATCTTCGTCTTCGCGCAGTTCATCAACAATTTCGTTGCCATACTTGCGCTTCAGTTCGGCTTCGATTGTTTTGAATTCACCGCCATGAGTATTCCGCGCTTTTGGTGCGTAATATTTTAGGTCCGGGTACAACATGCCTGATAAAGTGGCCGATTTGATAGCAGAAATCTGGAAACGGCAAAAAATAATAAGTATATATCTGTAGAGATTTTACAACTAAACAGCAACAGGCACTCAAACATATTTCTATCCGTTTCTCTTTCTTTAGTTTTGAACCGCTGACACAAAAGTTTTAGCATTCTGAAAAATATCAGGCAACGGGAGGGAAGGTCGATGCCAACACGTGCTGCAGTGCAATGCACATAATTTTAGCATTTTCTTTTCTCTGGGCATCATTTGGTTCGGATTACTGCCTACAAAGCAAATGAAAAAAAAAGCAAACACCAAAGAAACCATAAATCGATGCTTATGCATGATCATAACTACCCATCAACGTATCCCGAGCAAAGTCGGTTAACAAAATAAAAGTATATCGGTATATTTTTTTTGATTTGTTTTCCGTGCTTAGCACCAATCCTACCGAGACCAGGGAGGCAAGCTCCCACACCTGGACCCTACTTATCGACCCATCAACTCGTGAACCGGGGACCAACGGCTTTACTTCCCCCTTCCCCCCGTGATCAGAGATGTTATGCCTCAGAACATCCCGGCGGCGCCGACTGGGATTGAACCCAGGCCTGCTGGGGTGAGAGGCAATCACACTTACCACTACACCACCGGCGCCGCTTGTAAATCGATATTGAATTTTGCTGTTCTTATCATAAGCAGATCCCAGATCCCAGACGCTAGTCTGAAGTCTGATATCATATCAAGGTTTCATAATGCAAATGAAAGCAACATTCAAGTTTTGCTGTTAATGTCTTGTTGGGGGGCCTCTCTTAGCTCAGTCAGTAAAGGCGCAGTTACAAAGCAAAACCATGCTGGAGGTGGCTGGGTTCGATTCCAGGCGATTCCGGTCTAGGAATTTTCGGGTTGGAACATTTATCGACTTCCCTGGGCATAGAGAATGTTTGTACCTTGGCATCGAAAGCTCTCAATTAATAACTGTAGAAGTGCATAAGCTAATATGGGATAAACATAAAGCTTGAAATGTGAAGAAGTCTTGCTGAAAAATACATTTTATTCCATCTACCTCTTAACTAAATATTATTGTTTGTCTGTTTGAGGGATGAGATTAGATCTCATGACCTTCAGCGTAAAAAGCATGGATGTTATCCATTACGCTAGAACGTCATTTTTAGTTAAATAGATATTTACCCATATTCTTGTTTTCGTTCAAACTGTATTTCCCATACAAAAAAAAAAATGTGTATGAAAAATATGTTTTGAACGAAAACGAGAATATGGGTGATTAAGAAATCAAAATCAGTATTCAAATTGATTTCATTGAAAGCGGTATTAGTTTTCAGTTTTGTTCAATGATGTAAAATTGTGCTCTCAGTTTTGTTGTATTACCGGTTAATCCATACAAAACGAGATACACTGGGTAATAAAAAAAAAAGTTACATGATAACAGCAAATTTTGATTTCAATTTGATCTCCAGTTTTGTTCGGGATAACAGTACCATTAGAATAGGAAATCAAGCAAAGATGCGACTGTTATGCTTTTATGGCCAGATAACTTTCACTGCAATAATATTGCTAACGAAGCTGATGTAGGTAACTAGAGGATGTTCATAAACAAGGTAGACACTTTAGGGGGACTGCACGGACTAAGAGTTTCGAAAAAATGACGTAACAAGGGGTCTAAAATAACACAATAATTGTTGCTATTTAACATGTTCATAAAACTAGATAAGAGGCTGTAAACAAGAGATTATAAATCGAGGGGCACGCAATAACATTTAACTCCGACGAAGCAGACAAGAGCGTTGCTAGCTATTTTGGGTAACACAATAACTTGAGTGAAACAATCGTTTTTACTTATTGTGCATGCGACTGAAAGCTGTGCGACGTTTTCGCCAGTAAAACTTGAGTTTCCTATGTTGCCAATGTTGCCACTCAGACTCACGAACTTCAGTTTAGTAGAGGCGCTACAATAAAAATGTCATACACAGTTTTAAAAGAACAACTTTGTAAATTTAAAGACATATACTTTAAATCATTCGACAGCCATTACTCGTATTCATCGGAGGTGTACTCTTTCTGCTCTGCTTAACTTGGTGAAATATTGTAGCGAAAATGAGTGTAGTTCGTAAAAACACACTTCTCGCGTCACTTTTCAAATAGGCCAATGTAACATATCCACCATTTTGAGAAAATCGAAGTTGAAGTTCGACAGATTATTATTTCAACTGTTTAAAAACAATACATTTTGCAATACTATTTTTAATGTAGTCAGTGTATAATAACGTTGAAAATTCAGAAGAAACGGTAAAATCAAAATTTTACTCTGAATTTCATGCTACAACATTGAAAAAAGCACATAGGACGTTTTGACAAGTCGAGTTGTACATCGGACATGTTACATTGGAGGATTTTTCTCAATGAGTGTTACATTGGACGTTTTGTCTACATGATACTAGATTCCCTTTCACAGATTTCAGAGTATAGTACCTAACTTTAGATTGGCCCCGCCTTTGGAAAATGCGCACCAATCATGTTAGGCAGTCCGAATGACCGAAGTAACATTCATATACCCATCATTTCAAACTGTACATTGGACAATTTTTGATCAATGATTATCTTAAATAAATGAAAGTTAATTTGGATGTTTTTGTATCACATACAATGATAGAAGAGCAATAGTTTGTATCGCTTCACTAGATTTGTTTACATTTGTTACTTAGGACCTTTTGAAAAGTGACGCAGACTTGTTGTTAAAAATTCTTTTAGAACAATATCAATCTTCAATATTCGGACGTTAGATGTATTCATTTTCATTTTCATTTTGCAGCGTTTGGTGGGGCAATGGGAGCGCAAGTCAATCCAAAGCCGAGGATAAAGGACGGGTAATGGCTGAATAGTCTATGCGGACCACTTGAACGCCATGGGAAAAGGAAGGGATTGAAGAGGCCGGTTATTGGGGGGTTTTGAGCAAATGACACATAGTGATGCTAAATGTAAAGAAACCGAAAATCCATCTCCCACTGATTCATCCTTTCACATATAGGGGAAATGCAGGTAATGTCGGCCTAAGTGTCCCTAATTTGGGCCCATACATAAATTCAGCAAACGACTAAATTTCCAATAGCAACCAAAAATACCCATTAGTAACGTCCCAATAACGCGTTCGTCTAGATAAAATTGATAAATAGCAGATTTTAAGCGATGGGCCCAATCTTAGATCCATAGGCCAACATTAGAGACTTTTCCCCTATATCAAATTGATATTTCAAAGCAATAATCAAAATAAACAGACAATACATGAACAGGCTAGTTGCCAGTTGCTTTAAAGGCTAGTCCCTAAGCGGACCCTGCGCGTAGATACATCCGCGTAGTAAATCGATTGAATAAGCAAATCCGTTTCGAACGAAATATCTAAATTATGTAAGTTACGAAAACCGCGCGAATTCCGAAAGCCGTGCGAGACAACCGAAGCGAGACAAAAGGCTTATTATCATTTAAAGAGTGCCACCAAAATAAATGTGATAGCCTATGTTGGCAAGTTGATTAATTTTGGTTTCCTCCCTAGATATTCTACTTATTTACTACTGAGCTTTTTATCAAATTAGTTAATTTAAAGAACGCATCAATCATTTCTATACTCAAAAGCGTTTGACAAGCTCTACCGAATTGCGTATCACTTCTGCGTAAGCTCCGTAGACGTAGGGGCGTTGAATCCGACAGTCGGCAAAGGTTTAACCTGTACTAACACCGCTTAAGGAACGACCTCGAGTCAGTAAAACCGTTTAGAGCTTTAGAACATCTAAATTACGTAAGATACGAAAATCGCGCAAATTGTGAACGCCACGCGAGACAACGATAGAGAAAACAGCTTATTATCACTTAAAGAGTGCCACCAAAATAAATGTGATAGCCTATGTTGGCAAGTTGATTAATTTTGGTTTCCTCCCTAGATATTCTACTTATTTTACTATTGAGCTTTGTTTCAATTTAGTTATTTTACCGGACGTATCAATCATTTCAAAATTTCGCGACCGTACCGAACAAATTCTAGACTACATAAGCTCAAAACACTTTTGGCAACTTACTTACTTACTTAAGGGTCCTGTGCACCACCAGCGGTGCAAAGGACCAACGTGAAAGACTTCCATCCTGGGCGGCTGCTCGCTTTTGCCTTGACCTGGGCCCAGGTCAGATTTCTATCGACTTGCTTATGGAGGCGAACCAGCCCAAGGCTGAAAGCCTCCCTAATAAAGATAAATTAATTAATTAATCGACTTGCTTAATTTCCTTATTGAGGCTCCGCCGCCATGAGCCCCTGGGTCTGCCTCTGCTGCGATGTCCTACTGGATTCCAATCCAGCGCTTGCTTGCAGATTTCGTTTCCGCCGACGTGTGTGGCCGACCCACCTCCACTTTCGCTCTCGAATTTCTGTTGCTATCGGCTTCTGATGACATCGACGATGGAGCTCGGCATTCGAGATCCAGTTGTGAGGCCACCAGGCACGAATTATATACCGCAGGCATCGGTTGATGAAGACCTGCAGCTTTTGAGTGTTCTCCGCTGATACACACTACGTCTCGCTGGCGTATAACAACACAGATTTCACGTTCGAGTTGAAAATTCGGATTTTGGTGCGTTGACTTATCTGGTTGGATCTCCATACGTTTCGTAAACTCGCAAAGGCAGCCCTAGCCTTCTTGATTCGTGCACCTATGTCGCTCTTGGTCCCGCCGTCCGACGCTATTTGGCTGCCAAGATATTGGAAACTTTCGACCTTCTCCACTGCTTGCCCCGCTACCGTAAAGTTGGAAGGGTTGCCCGTGTTGATATCCAACGATTTGGTCTTGTTGACGTTGATGGTGAGACCCGCCGCAGAGGAGCGTTCGGCTAGGTCATTGAGCTTACTCTGCATATCAGAGCGCCGTTGTGCTAGTAGAGCAACATCATCAGCCAAATCGAAGTCGTTGAGATGCTCCATGGTGATAGGCTGCCAAAGCAGCCCACGGTTCGGTACACGGTCAATTGCACCTACCATGATC